TTACTAAACAAGAACTGATTGTGTAAGAATAATAATCTTGTTTTCAGAATGTGTAAGATTATTGGTCTTGTTAGTCTGAAAATTTGACTCAAATTAAGTCAAAGATTTCTGCCAATGGAGTAAGAAACATTTACTTGGTAAGATTCTTGAAATACTTGATGTGACTCTTTTTTTTATTTCAAGAATCTTACCAAGTCAAATTTTCTTACTCCATTGGCAGAAATCTTTGACTTAATTTGAGTCAAATTTTCAGACTAACAAGACAAATAATCTTACACATTCTGAAAACAAGATTATTATTCTTACACAATCAGTTCTTGTTTAGTAAATCATTCTCAAAACAAGATCAAAAAGACTTTTTGGCTGGATATAAGGTTTTAAAACTCATTAAGATGGACAGTTTTTGCAGTGTATAGCTGTATTTATGCCTAACCCAGACATTTTTCCTAAAACTAACCATTACTGGTCTGTTTCTAACCCTAACCTGAACCAGAACTTATACCTCCTAACCTAACTAAAGCACAACAGAGCTGCAAATAAAATGAGGACACTGAAGAGGTCCTCACTTTACACCAAAAACCTCGCTTTGATAGTAACTGTCGTGGATGGTCCTCACTCTGTAGCAATAACAAGCACACAAACACACACCGACTTGTAAGACACAGTAAACAAGGTAGTGTTGTAAATATTGATGCATTCCTTCAGCAGCCCTCAGATTCCCTCTGGAGAAGAGCAATCAGAAAAACAGAAGGTTTGTTTAGAATCAGAAACCCTCCATATTGAAAATGTTCACATTTCATCCTCCTTCCCTTTTTTCCTGTCAGACACAGAAATGTAGAATAACTGGCGTGACGCTGACGTGACTCAGCAACATCTGAATATTTGAAAAAAAAAAGAAAAGAAAAGGAGAAACAGCAAGGACACAATGTCTGCACAGAGGCAGGGCGGAAATTCCACCTCATTATTGGGTGCAGGGGAGGGGGGTGCAGTACACTGTTTTTTTTAAAGAGCAAGTCTTGGTGGCAGGGGTGAGTGACTGAAAGGGGGGCCAATAAATTATAGTCAAATTATTGTTATTCTCATATTCACCAGGTTTGCAGAAGCTAAAATAACAAGACTTTGTAGTTCTCTATTCAGCTTCCAGGTTAGATGCTCATGTGATTTGCAGCCCAAGCTTCTTCTTTTTTTAAAAATTTTATTTACAAAAATATAAAACTATATAAAGTATAAGAACGGGTCACTAAACATCTGGCATCTATTCACAGTGTTAAAGTGCAAAAATAAAAATGAACTATTTTGTTTTCTGCCATGGTGTTTCTTTTATTTCTCTCATGAGGTGGTGCTGAAGATGAAGGAATATTTTTTTGCTGCTGTCGTCCTTCTGTTTGGTGCTTTAATCAGAACTAAATACGTTCTCAGTGTTATTTGTTCAACATGTTGACCTCCAACATTCTTAAACTCTGAGTTTAGAGAGGGTGGGTGAAGCAGCTGCTCCTGTTCACTGCTGCAGCTTAATGAGACATAAAATGCTGAAAATAAATAGATTTATATTTTTATGACCTTATATTCTCTGTTTATACATCAGTGAGATAAAATGTAAAAATAAAAAAAAACTTTCAACACAGGAAAAGTTTTGAATTATCTTCTTAAGATAAGATGCAAAAAGATAAACCTTTGAAGTGGTTGTGGGTTAGATAGGTGGAGTCAAACAGTGTGTGGGTGGAGTCAAACATCATGTGGGTGGAGTCAAACAGTATGTGGGTGGAGTAAAACAGTATGTGGGTGGA